GAAATATTTTGTACAGGTAATTGCGCAAAACTTTAAAGTTTTAAACTATTTAGATAACTTATTATTATAGCCTATAGGTAGGTATTAAAACAATTCCAACTAACTATAACTTGAGTAATACATAATCAAACTAGTTCATCTATTTTACGTACATATGTCATACGCATGCAATGTACATAAACATTACTGCAGTAGATATATTATCACGTATCACTATGATATGTCTATATGTATACATGATTATATGTACATATATGGCTATTTATACATCATATACCTTCGTTTATCTTAATATGTTATACACATTGTGGGTATTATTTATTAATTATTACTCGGATAATATTATAGTAAATTACGAGTAACTAATTTTACTACAATGAAACCTATGAATAGTGGATGCTTGCAGTCACCGACATTTTTTCCACTATTCAGACTTCAGAGGGTGTAAATTTTTAAAATTCATAAAGATTAAAGGGTAAACGTTTAAAAACAAAAACATATTATGTGCTATTTAGTATTATTATATTTTAATTTTTTAATGATGTATGTAATAATGTATGTTTAGTGTATAATAATAAAAAATGTGTTAAAAAAAGGCATGGGTATCTATATACTTAAATACAATTCAATTTGATAGGAAAAAATCGATTAGTTCGGTTTGTTTAAAACTATGTCATCTCTGTACGATTTCGTTGGGAAGTTTATTTGCTTAACTTCAAGTAGAAGAGAAAATATTACTTTTTTTTACCTCTACTGAAGATATGAAACGACCTAAGGATGTATTTATCCTTTACAGTAGCTAATGTGTCCTGTAAACTTGTAATGTGAAATTTTGAAATTTTTTCTTCCTTGTGCTCATTTCTTCCTCATCGGTCTCTTTAAGCTCATCAGAATTTACGCTCAACGTTGTTATCATGGATGACTTTGATTTTATCAAAAATAACAAAGGTTATTTTTAAATTAAGATTAAAATAGGTGTCCGCTATTCGGAAGTTTTCCTATTGAAAAGTATTGAAAATGCACTTGTTCCCAAGAAATCGTCTGCTATTGGGAGGCGTCTATTAGGAAAGATTTGACTGTATTATTTTTAATTGTAAATAATAGATACTAATAAAAAATACTTTTGGTGTACATTAGACGATAAGTTGGTCACTGAAAGACTAATAGTATTAAATTTGAATGCAATGATCATTGAATACAAAAAACAATTTTGCGCGAAAACAGTCTATGAGCTCATATTATATAATAATGGTAATTAGTAAGTAAACTTTACGATAAAAACGGAAAAACTTGAAATTTGAAAATAGTAGATACAAAAACAGTTAAAATATTTAGGAAATTATATTATTTATAGGAAAAGTTAATGTAAACGTTTGACGAAAATTCTAAGTATCTACTGATATTTATTTTTAAATTAAAATTAGAAAAAAATCGATTTTGTCAAATACTATTTTTCGTAAAAATTTCCGTTATATTTTCACCCGGCGAATACTAGTTGTTTCCCAAAATATATGAATTGCCTCTCGTCCTTATCGTAAATAAAAAGTCTAATTTACATTAGTTGCCTCCGATGACCAGGTAGTTCATAATTATTAAATATTTTGTAAAAATAATATCGTACAACCAGAACGAGTGTTGGAAATCAACTATAAACGTTACTCGATCATGTATATTATTTACTATAACCGAGCTTGGCTCAGGTTTGGTTTGCATTATATCTTATCATTACACAAAAGAGTATATTACCATAATGGTTAGTTGTATAGATGATATAATCGTATCAAATATCAAATATAACAAGTCATAAATTACGATTTTGAAATTACAAACTTATTTTGATACATAATGATTGAAAATGTTTGGAATCGCTTATATATTTATTACCTGACTAATGGGAGGCAACTAGTACTAGACTCTTTTCGTTTATGATAAAATGTAGGATACGTCGGGAAGTAACTCGTATAAAAATTATGGGCCTTTTTGACTTCGGGAGGCAACTAGTGTGCGTCCTTTTCAATATTTAATAATACTAAGAATTTTGTATCTTGACATTTTTAAAGTACAAACTAGATCCAGTTTTTTTATCGAAACCACTCCCAAAGTTAAAATTTGAAACATTTTAACTTAATATAATACAATATACACGTATAAAAAAAATTAAACATTATTGTAGAATAAAAATAATACAATTTTTTTACTAATTAATATAAGTATTCATACTATAAACATATACCTATTATACAAACGAATTTTTATGATTGCACTAATGGCAGTATATTATGAAATAAATTAAAATTATGGTATAGTGTATATAAAAAAATAATACGACGAATTTAATACATATTTTCTACATAATTTTGTTTATGAAACCATAAATAAATATTATTTTAAAATTTGTAATATTAACTATTGAACTTAACTATGAAAATTTTGATATATAAATTATAACTGCTGCAAGCAGTAGGTACGCAAAACTTTTTTCCAGTTATATGTTTTATTTTTTTTTTTTAATAGCTATTGAAAATAATAAGTAATAACTAATTAATTAAATTATTATTATGAATTTCAATTGAAAAATTATTGGACTTTGAAATTTTATGGTGTGAGGTTGAACATCCTCCTACCAATTCATTTCTTCGTGAACATTACTTATTGAAAATATTTTGTACATTGTTGTTTAATATTGAATAAGTACATTCGACTACCTATTAAGTATTGATTACGTGGCCTTATTTCTCAGTCGAATTTTACATTGAAAATATATGATAGAAATATAACGAACACAATTTGTTATAATTTCTCTACTTCCTCTAGTATAAACTTACAAATTTCAATATAAAGTCTCAGCGGGGAACTGTAAACATAGTATACACTTTATTGTCTTTATTGCCCTTTAACGAAAGCTATCATTCCAAAAAAACCTATCTATACAGCATAGGTATATAATTATTAAATAAGGATGCTGAATAATATAATATGGTAGGTGAATAATATATTTGAAACAATTTATAATAATATATATTAATTTAGTAAACGATGTGTATTCACATATGTTTTTATGCTATAGTGCAAACGAAGAAAAAATTAGTTTTATGTAGTTATTATAGTCATTATTGGTTAAAAAATATTTTAACTGACATCATGGAATTGAAAATATGATGTAATATTAAATCATTTTATTCGATAAGAATATTTTAGGCTAGTCTCTTTTTTAAAGAAACCTATTTAAATAAAAGTTGTGTAATGTTGTATTAGTTGATAAGCAATTGCAAAAAAAAAAAAATAAATTAAAAAAATATTCAAGTTTTTCAATTAATTGACTAATCAAATTATACGTCTGTAATTGGTATTACATATGGTATAAAATGACCTGTACATTTTCTTTGATAATTATGGTTTGACTTATTGAGTACGATTGATAAAAATATGTTGATTTTATGATATCATTATATATTATAAAAAATAAACTTTGATATTTATTTTTTGACGAAATTATGTAACTATATAACACAAAAACGTTAAGTCTTTTGTATGATGCACATTGTGTTTAATTGTATAAGTATCAAATTTATTGCTGGATTAAAACATTCAGTGGTTATGTGTATAGTATGAATAGTATGATCCTATGAAGATAAATTATTTGAAAGCATTACTATTTGTCACCTGCAGGTTGTTAATATAATATATATTGTATATCTGGATCTGGATACTGATTCATATCAACTGCGTGTTTCGTGATTTTGGACAAAGTTCAACTTGTACCTTCGTCGGCAATGTGTTGGAAATTAGTTTATTGAATAAATTTAAAATAAATACCACGTAAGTTAAACGTTGAATATTATAAATTATAATACATAAAATGTGACTGAAAACGAGACTGAACAATAAACTGTAACCATATGATGTGAAAGGTATAGCACGGTGTGGAGTGCAGGTGATAGTGAAGACGACAAACATACATTTCAAATAGGAGTTGTGCTTATCGTTTTCTTTGGTGTCATGGTCAAGATATATTTTTTCACAAATATCGTATTGAGAGATTTAGTTCAGCGCGGATAACGATTGGACGGTAAGAAAGGCTAAAGTTGAACAAAATACGCGCGTATCTTGGACGTCTGCTCATCACGTGGCCTTTTAGTTTTTTCCTTGTTACAGTTCTCAGTTGAAGTGTGTATCTCATTAAATTTAATTCATTATCTCATGTGTAATTGATAAATGATTAGATAATAATGTGTACTAATACGTTCAAAACAAAATCATAAATACGACTCGATTGTGAAACGGACGTAAAACCACAGTTTTGCACGATTTTTTTTTACACGTACAGGAAGGAGGAATTATTGATATGTTTTTCGATCGTTAAACAGACACGTAAGTGGTTAATAATTAAAAACCTAAAACTAATAAATCAGTATTACTAGTACCTCAAATTCATAGCAAACACACGACGGCTTAAAAAATATTGTTTCTATAGTCACATTCGAGACGTCGCAGTGCACACAGAGAGGCGATAGCGAGACGATAGGGTATACGTTTAATAATAAAATTAGAGCCGTTGCTTTTTTTTTCGAACATATATCTATAGGTGGTACACATCACACAAATTTCATACATTATACGAACCCATAGGGGCTCCAGAGGGAGAGTCAATCGAATCGGTGAGACCGCAACACACACACACACACACACACACGCACGCACACACGCACAAAAACTTACAAACTTACAAAATCTATCACACGCATACACTCGAACTCGCACACGATTACACAGACCGACACATTGACAGGACACACACACTCGAACTTACAAGCGCTTACAGACCAACACGGACGCACGCGGTCGCGCTGGCGAACGGAGGGCGGAGAGAACACGGCCGGCGATTTAAATATAGAACGCGTGTGTGGAGCGAATATCGCGTGCGTGTGTGACGAGCGGCGGCGGCGGTGGAGACGTATGGTCGCGCTCAGGGGATTCCGTCTCCGTACTTAGGCGTCTGTGCGTACGTCTACAAGTCGTGCGAGTGCCGCCGCCGTGTGTAGCCGACGACGACGACGCACAACACCATTAAAGTAACAACTACGCGACACAGCATAACCGCAGTGCATAATAATATCATATACCTAGTAATACTGTGCGTGATACAATATATTATTGTTATTGTTATATACTCAAACACGCTGGCGGATTCGGTTCGGTTTGTCGCGCTAGGCCCGCGGTCGTCGCCATATTATTATTATCCGACTTTACGACAGCGATCACCGTCTTCGATCTGGCGACGCGTCGTCTGCACATCGTCATAATTTGTAACGTTAACGTCGGTGTTGGAATTCAATAATCGTCGTAATTCTTCTCGGGGGGCGTAAGTGCCCGCACTCGGTGTTTCGCGCACCGGAACCGGTTTCCGAGAGTGAGAAAAAAAAACACAGCCCCCGAAACGCGGATTTCTCCCCGCCGTGTATTACCCTACCGGAAAAAGTGAGTATCGCCAATATAATAGAATTATAATCTTACCTTATCCAACGGAAATCTCGCTTTTGCTGACGCCTAATGTGGGTGTAACGGTTTTTTCGACGACACTCGTCGTCGTCTCGTCGCTTTCGTCGACCGTGTTTTCAAAAAGCGACTCGCGTTATTCCCATACGTCCCATTAAATTATTAATGATTGTGTAATACGTCACAATCTTGATACGAAACGATATAGTTCGTTTATACGTAATTTATAATATATTAAGTATTTACATAATAGTAACATTATTACGTACCTACTTTTTTCACTGTTTCGTTGTGTTCGACGAGATGAAAAATTTTTGCGTCTACTTACGTTTTAATTTTTTATACATATTTTCTGTTTAGATAGAACAATATCTACATAAGTTTTATTTCGTGAATATCAATTCTATTGATACCATTAATTATAGATATAACGTTGTAAAATCTAAAACCGTATTGATATTTATTTTTAGTTGATTTCTCGATTGTTTTACTAAAAATGACAAATAACAAAATATATTTTAAATCTAGTGAAAAGGAGCTTAAAATTATTTATTTGTTCTAACATACTTGTTTGGAGACGAGTCGTCCAGGCACCCGTAAGTCATAATTTCCACTTCTAACCAATTTAATTTTTTTGTACCCGCGATTCGTATCCATTTATGCCCACCTTAAAAATAATTTAACTCTTTTTCGTTTGACGTTAAATCTAATTTTTAGGTTCGGGTGTTGAAATGAAATCGCTCTAGCACTTATAGAACGCCCAAAAGCTCGCTGATTTCATGTTTTCGTGTTCAATGTGTATCCATATGTACCATAAATCTGTGTTTAAATCGGATACAAAAATTTAAATTGATAAGAGATGGAAATTATAACTTATAGGTGCTAGAACGACTTACTTCTATTTATAGATACAACAATTTGTTATATGGCAGTCATAATTTAATTAAAAATGGTGATATTGTCACTAAGACTCTTGATTTAGATAATAAATTTAATTGTTAAGTTAAATAATTTACATGACATAGTTTATTTGAAAGGGTTTTAAATCGAGGAATGTGTAATAAATCATTTTTTTTTTGTTAACTTTACTCCTTATTATTAAAAAAAAAAAAACTGGTACAATTTTTAAAAATGAAATTACTCAGACTATTTATATTTATTGTTTCACACATCTCTGAAATCGCAGGGTTTGTGTTTTCGTGTAAAACTAAAAGTTTTTTGTTTAAAATAATAAAAGAATTAATTTGATTCTAAAATTGGTTATCGTATTAAGGTATCACTAAAAATATTTCTAGTTCGGTATATAATCGATTTAAAAAAAACGTAGTTTTCATTTAGTTAAAGTGCACACGTTAAAGATGCCGCTTTTTCGAAGTATTCCAAATCCATACTATTATATAAAATTGTAAGAGGTTTTCTACGACCGCGCTAACCGAGAAAACTACTGAACCGATTTGGCTGAAATTTTTTACTGTTATACTCAACACTTTGCCAAAGGTTTTAGTACCACTTTTTTCAATAAAAAATAAGTATAAAGTTCTTGAAAAATTAAAAAATTGTATACCTATATTATATACGTATTGTGCGGCACGGTGGCCCGTGGGTTTACAGCTACCTGCAACTTGGCCTATTTGTTCGTCAAATTGTATTGTGTTTGATATCGGCGTGTAGATATGAATTATTTCAAGAAGTTTATTGCACGTACATCAACAACATGTATACCAAATATTCGTATTGCTCTATATCTATATCTTTAAGTACTACTATATAAAATTGTAAGGGATTTTCTACGACCGTGTTAATCGAGAAAACTACTGAACTGATTTGGTTGAAATATTTTACTGTTATACCTGAATACCTGATTGTCTGTTTAAGGTTTTAGTACCACTTTTTTTGATAAAAAAATAAAATAAATGAAGTAAAATGGGAATTTTTACGCATATTCAATATTATTATTAAAATTATTGTTTTATAAGTTATAACCATGATTACCATTAAAAGTTAAAACACTTATGTTATAATTATATGGAATGAAATTTTAAAAATATCTAAATTAATTTAAAGATATTATCTATTTATATCATGCATTTATTCACTCTGTTTTATGGTAAGATTTAATTAACTCATAGTTTATAATAAAGTTCTTGAAAAATTAAAAAACCAAGTTAATTTTTAAGTCTTCTCTGCGAGGTTCGCAAGAACAGGCCTTTTTTAAGTTCTCATTTTGTTACAACAATATTTATCTTTTTCCATTTTTTTCACATATTTATTCCAAATACCCTTTTGAATGTCATCACATCATCTGATTTTTAATTATTTTTGTTTGGAGGGGGTAGAGAGGAGGGTATTGTATTTAAATGTTCCAATTTTCTGACGACACTATTTAAAATTTTTCCATTTTTTTTTCAAAAGGTTATACTAAACACTTAATACTACATAATTAAACGATAACATTTGAATAGAAAATTCTATATATCAATATATCATCGTCCGAAGGCAAAATTAACAACCAATCACGGGCAAAGCCGTGAACGGTCGGCTAGTAATAAATATTACCAATTATACCACCTACTTGTGACAGTATTTAGACAGAAGTTATTTGTACGAGTTTGTGTTTATTTTAAATCTGATAAAAATAAATATTATATGCACTAGGATTATTTACTGGAGTTTTTATACGTAGGTTTTTATTCTCGTGTTTCGACACCAATGATAATAAATTATTCGATAATATTATGCCGAGCCCGACAATCGTGAAGATTAGTTTTGTATCTTCACTAATTATAGTCCGTAACGAACATTTTATACAAAATATTAGTACGTGTCAGTTGTGTCACATCAGTTTTTATTATAATGGATTATATGTTGTTTTTACAGCAGAAATCTAAAGCATTCCTTTAATTTGGTTAGTGATAGTTGTAAAAAGTATATTATATCTCATTAATCTTGGACTATGCCAAATATAATAATTTAGTGCAATTTTTTTATAACGATAACATTGCAGCTCAGAAAATTATTATAGATAAATGGTTGTTAGTCAACGTTCGAGACAATTAATTAATAATAATAAGTTGTTCTGTATAGATCAATAGTTAAATCATTTTATTTTACAGTATAAAGGTTATGTAATCCATATAATTTATGACAATTATTATTATATAAATAAATAATAATATAATTAATACTTTCAATTTATTAATTAATAATATTATGTCGAAAAGTAAATACTGACTGGTGTACTAACGTTTATTCGGGATTCTCAATATTTTTTATCCGAATTTCACCTACACATTTTATAAATTTTCTCGTGCAATTCGGTCTAATAACGTTTTGTATATTAAAAAATGAATGATTAAATCATTTTCTACATTAAATTTATTTTTTCTATTAAATAAGTAAGAAAATGTATTTATTTTTTTATAAATATGTCGATTTAAAAGGGATTAGAAATTGTAAAACTTTTGTGGACGAATCCGATATTTAATATAAATAATAAATCTAAATTTTTTTATAGCGAGGTTTATACGTGCACCTTTGGTTGAGTAACGCTGTTTAAAACCTATTTAATATGATACTGACGGTTTTCTCTATCGAATATCAGTCTTATAAAATATTTTATAAGCATGGTGCAAGAAATATGTTTAACTATACTGGTTTTTAAATTGAGTTTTTAACGGAATGATGATAAAATAAAATTCTTTTTAGTTTTCTTATACAAATTATAAGAATCTTACATGTTATTATATAATTTTCAAACAATATGCATGACAAAATACATAATTACCTTTATAATGTGTTTAATTATTTCCTTAAAAACTTGTGTGTCAACAATTAAATTTTTCAATTACGTTCAATAATATAAGTGCGTTTTTCTTAAAAATCAGACAGAGTACCAAAATAAAACACATACTGTAAGCATTACGGTTCGTAAATGCATTTGTATAGTTTTTTTTTCCATAAGTGTTAAAATTTAGACTACTAGAGGAGTAAAATAATGGTAACGGCATGTATCATGCAACCCGAAAAGTGGTGTCGAGTAATTTTAAACCGAATAGGTACTAATAAATAGTTTAACACTAAATAACTCATGCGCTTATAATATGTTTTTATTGAATATAATATATATTACGTATACGATAGTATCTTGATGAGGACCTCGATTAATTTACGTTTTCGTTTAAATACGCGCAGTGCGGGAAAACAGAAATAAACGCTTTCGTTTCGATTTATAATAATATAGTTGTATCTATAGACTACATTATAGTATTAAGTCTGTCGACGGTGGTGTTCACCAATTTTTATTTACTCGATGGCGTTGGCGTCGACGGTGTACCGGTGCACGTGTTAAAAGGTTTATGATAAACATCGCCATAATGCATATTATAATAATGACCAAAAAAAAAAGACGCTGCATACAAGTTGCGTACCAAAGATAGCTATAAAAAGGTCTAATCCAAATTGCTTCCCGAGGGTTCTTACATTGTATCCTAGTTGTGGCCCTGGTTTTTTGCGTTATGTTACAGCCCAATTAATGTTTACTAAATTGATGATTTTAATTATGCATTTATACCTATAATGTTATCTTCGCTGACCGTTTAATAATAATGACTTCTATGTGAATTACTAATGGTTGTCAGGATTTTCATTCCAAGTTTAACGCAATTTTCTACAGTGCACGTCAAAATATTTTTGTATTCATGAATGTTTTGAAAAATGTTTAATGAGATTCCTATATAATTTTAAGAAGTACTCTGGTACTCATCTAAATAATTGTAGGATATTAACAACTAATATACTAAAAAAAGTAACAATTATAAGAAATAAATACTTACTATGGCACAATAAGAAGGAAACCAAACTAACATGTTCAAATTTATAAAAAAAAAATGTAAAAAAGTTTTTTAAGAGTGCCATAGTACTAAAGTAGCCCAAAAGTCTTAAAAAAATGGATGATACTGGTTGTATAGGATATTTGTTATTGGGAAATAGGTAATTTGGAAGTCGAGAAATGTTTATCAAACTATAATTTATTATTATTGTGTTCAAAAAGACATAGTTTTTAGCGGGGCCGGTCTAAGATTCGAGAGATGATTGCCAACAGCAGCTGCAGCGATTTTGATTTGAGTACTTGCCGTCTGTGTTTGTTCTTAGCGTCGAATCGGGTTGTTAAAATTATTTCACGGCGACAATAATAATAACGAAATAATTACTGTCGTTTAGAGACGTGCAGAGGCTGGTAATAATAAATATAAATTTATAAATACATAAACCGTATATAGAATTTGCGAACGAAATGCCTTGTTTATTATCACGTGTGTATTATAGAGGTTGATTTATAATTTTCCGTGTCTCGTCTCTGTGCCTCATAATCCGAAACCAGATCCGAGTCGGTCACCCCTCGACGGTTTAAACGTGTCCATCCGGTGACGATAAAAATGGCTTCGTCTTTGAGTTTTCTTTATATTTTTACGACCTAGGGGACGAGGAATATTATATTCTTAGGGTCTCGGCCGTTTGGCGGCAAGCAGACAGTCGTCATTACACATAATATATAATATACATATTATAGCCTTTTTTACACGACCGCATATGCGTGTGCGATAATAATAATAATCATATTAATATAAATATATCTTAATCCTGTTAGGGGTTTTATATATAGATAAACATCTACAAGACGTTTTCATTCTATACCATTATTATTGTCGTCTTATCCGTCATCGTCGTCGTTATACACTTTTATAGGTATATACATCGTGTTAATAATCGTGTCGCGTGAGTCACGTGTACTTATAGTCTATAGGTGTATACGTGTCTCTGCACAAACCGGGTACGTCTTCTCTACAAGAGCTTATATACATACGAGTAATATATATATAATATTCTCGACTGATTATCATAATAATTATCGAAAGATGATTTTTTTTTGTTATTTTTTATTGTTTTCTTTGACTCTTTGTCCATTGTAATGGGACCGATTTAAAGTTAGGTATTCGATAAATAATCGGAAATACACGAAAGCGGAAGTGCATTGTAGGATTCGCATTCGAAACGCGCCGTGAGTGGATGAGTGGATTATGAAATGGCGCGCGCAAATTTAAATTGGTAGCAATAAAGTCGTTGGCTAGCTTAGAACTGATCGCGGAGAGGCGCTGTGAAGAAATTCTCGGTTTTAAATGTAAGCTACGATACGTGTTTATAATTTATTATTATTATTATTATTGTTATGCGACATGTCAGGTTCGCGCAAATAGATCGTTCCCTTCGAAATGTACGTCAACAACGCGGCGCCACTCACGTGAGCTCTATATCGAATGTCCACATAAATATTATTTATTATAACGATACTCACTGTGTGTTAGGTAAATACGGGCGAGTATTTGGGCACGGATCGGACGTATTATCGAATCGGAAACATAATATCCACCGCGTATAGGTATATCATATCGCACGAAGATCGATCGCGAGACGTTTTCTTGGGGATACGCAAATAGGCGTCAAACCCCGTCGTCGTATCGTGTAAACGATACTTTAATATTATGCTGTCGAACATACAATATTCGGACGGAATATACGGACGTAGAGCTACTTTTCGCACTTTTGCAGTCTTGGCGCGGTCGGGATAGGATCGAGAAGGTCCGCGCATAATTTTTAAAAAAAATTATTAAATCGAAATTTACGCCACAGGCGATTTCGGTCACGTGATATAATCGGTCAGTTTTATTTTAAAACGATTTACAGTATTTTGAGTAGATTGTTTTTGATCTAACTTTGTGCTTTACAAAAAATCGATCTCATAATTTTATTCATTTTTTTTTTTTTTTTTTTTGATTGAAAAACGCTTATGTAAACTTTAGAAAAATGTGGTTGTATTGCTAATAACGCCATTCCGTTTCGTTCGCAGGTGTTTGGTGGGAGAAGGACAAGAAGGAGCGGCACTGTGCCGTCGGCCGGAGAAAGAGGACGACGACGACAACACTGTGATCACTACCACCAAGAACAACAACAACAATAACAACGACGAAAACAACAGCAGTAGAACCCTGGTAATCACAATGATGTCGGCCGCGAGTGCGGTCGGCGGCGGCCGTCTGCTGGTCGTCGTGGACGTGGACGGCGTCGACAGCGACAGCTGACAGCCTGGACGACTGCGACCGGTGCGGGAATGCGGCGGTGCTTACGGATGGGGTGTCCCGCCGGCCCGGTACGCCATGCTTGACGTGTTCCGGGGCCTGAAGAGCCTGGTGAAAATCAGCCACGTGCACATCGACTCGCCCGTGTTTCGGCTCCACTACAGCCTGACAGTGATGCTGTTGTCCGCGTTCAGCCTGATCGTCACCACCAGGCAGTACGTCGGCAACCCGATCGACTGCGTGCACACCAAGGACATACCCGAAGACGTGCTCAATACGTACTGTTGGATACACTCGACGTACACCATCAAGGAGGCGTTCAAGAAGAAGGTGGGTGTGAGCGTCCCGTACCCAGGCGTGGACAACACCCGCGGCAAGGCGGACGACCGCAAGACGTACGGCTACTACCAGTGGGTGTGCTTCTGCCTCTTTTTCCAGGTAAGGGCACCGCTGCGTCCGCATTTCTCCGGCGAAGACGCTACCCCTCGTCTCATATTATTATTTATAAAATTACGTTGTGTTGGTACTCGTCGCTTATCAGCACAAAATATGGCGATAATATGCTATTATGCGAATATGATACGGTCACGCGCTTCATGGCGGAAACGAAAAACTCCCTCCCTCACTTCCCGGTTCTATAGTACATGGCAACGTCTTATTCGTCTCTCGGTCGATCCGTCCCGTCGTGTTTGAGGATAGGCAGCGCACTATAAAAAAATGTATTCTTTATCAATGCAGCTCCACTAGACATTTTCAAAATAATTTACTGTGTCCAGTCAAATACGGTAATATTCTTTCCATTTGTGTTGTATTCCACGGGCGCCAAATTTGATGGGTGACCATTTGCGCGCGTGCCGTAAGACTATTAAATTTCGATACTGTTGTTATATTATATACGTTTTATACGTATACTAATGTCGTGGGACGGGGAAAGGATATTGGATCCCGAACGGTCCCAAATTGCGACGTGGCGAAAAATAAAAAATAGATACATTTATATCGGAGCTAGTGTTGATAAGGATAACCTCGACGGTGGTGTTTTTCTTTCCTCTATCGCCGTCGCGATAAGTTTATTTATTTTTCTCGGAAGGGCGCTGCTGCATATAACACACAGGAGAGTTTTTGCAGTACGCTGTCGATAGGAGTGAGAAAATTGTTTCCGCTTGGGAGCTCTGTTATCATATTAAACACCTACCGTTATATAGTAATCGTTGATCGATGACAATGCTCGGAAAGAATAGTAGTGACACGCGCTTCTTTCCGTTCGTTTCTAATTACTATGACGCGCGATTTGTCATACCGCTGTCACCACAGTGGCGTTATTTACTTGAAAACCGAAAGAAAAATAAACCGACAATATTATTTGTCCGTTTACGGTGTACGTCTATCTATTAATGTCCAATATATTATGCATGCATGACGTTCCGTTTTTCATACAGTATTTGTCTATAAAGCGACGAAACTAGTGTTTCGTATACATTGCGTAACAGTCGTAACGTTTAAATATAGTAAATTTTGGTAGTTGGAACCTCAATAAAAAAAAAGAAAAAAAATTATAATAATAAATAAATAAATAAGTAAATAGTGGAAAAAAGCCTAAGAAAACTCTCGACCACACATAAGTAAACTCGTAAAACGTCGACCCGCGCAACCGGCGTAAATCGGTCGTAAATCGTATGAATTCCAAACAAATAATCCCATCGCGAGCTATAATAATAATAAGTACACTAAAATGTTTTTTTGCTTGACACGGCTGCACGCTCCTCATCAGGACTTGGGACAATCATCGCTACACAAATACATTACGATATAATGTGTGGCCTACAAATGTATAAAATGGGCGTTTAGTTGACGTTGTTTTTAAGACAAAATATATTATGAATTATTATCATGATATTATTATAATTTATAATCACGCGTGACAAACCGAATTCGTTTCTCAGCATAAATTATTATTACGATGTATATATGAATATATATATATTTTCAACGCTAGTCTTGTGTTATCAATAACAAATTGGTACGTTACTTTACGATTTACTAATGTAATTAGTAATACAATTAGATTAATAACATGAAATATTGTATACATTTATATCAACTTATTTTTTTTCATTACAACGAAACGTTAAAATATGCTTTTTAATTGCACCATAAAAAAAAAAAAATGTTTATTGCTATAATAACGCATATATGTATAATGTTTATTGCCGCTAATGTTATACTTACACATTATTTGGACATCGATTACTTTCTTACATTTTTAGGTTTCTCAAACATGTGTTCGATTGATGTTTTGACGTACATATTTTATAATATGTATATATTATTATTATGAAACCAAATGATATTACAGTAAAATGTCCATATAGCTTACTGTTACTGAAGAGAACGGAAATAATGACCGATATTTTATCATCCTATACAGATGATTTCACGGGAAATTCAGATGTAGTTGTTTTATAAAGTATATACAATTAATTTAAAAAAAAATATATAAATAAAATACGTAATACGTTAATTGTACATACTAAAAAAAAGTATTTATGACATGTGCAATATTGAAAAGTTATTTACTACACATACCTAAAATTTAAAACTAAAAAAGTTTTCAATGTTGCCTATTAAAATTAAAAAATTTAATAATATTTCTATAAGTTTGTTTTAAATTTTTTAACACATTCTTTCGAGATTAATTTTTGTAGTTTTTAATAAGTTGAATTGTATTTATTTGATATCGTTAAGTACGATAAGATACCATAAACTGTCGTAAATTATTGGAAATAATTGAGTTTTTTATGTTGAATACAAATATTATTGTTATTAATATTCTTAAGAATACTTATGATTTAGGGCTTCAAGGGTATTAATATATTTTTCTCACTTCATTTTATCGGACTAAAATGTATAACTGTTTTATGGTGGAGGCTGTTAGGAAATTTTCTGTAATTATCAAACATAATTTAAACGTACAAAATTGATGTGATATGGTCGATATGGGGTATATAGGCACCAAAAGTACATACTTGTAAGTATGTGTATGTATTGAAGTTTGGATAATATCAAGGCAGTAATAAGTTTAAAATAATTATTTTAAAAGTGTTCAGAGAAGGAGTTCAGATAATTCAAGAAAACAACATTTTTATTCATAATAATTCAATTAATTCCACGCAAACAAATCTGTTTGCGTTTTTTTCTAACGATATTTACAATTTTGTATTCAGATAAAATAAGTTCGATAATGAATGAATAAGATTTTGATTGGAAATCTGTCGCTGTGGGCATTTTAATACTCTAAAAAAATACACGATACGGCTGCAGCATCAATGACGAGTGATGACAAAACAAAAGCCTTTATATTTTCTTTACGCTCTTTTGTGTGCCATAAAAGCGACTTAACGTTGGAAAATATTGAATATATCCGTCTTAGTAATTTTTATACGTTAAAAAAAAAAAAAAAAAAAAAAAACCGAGAAGAATTAAATAATTTTAGATTTATTATTAATCAAATGAGGTTCATATCATTATAATATGATTCGTCTTGTTTATACAGAGATATTCAGACAAGTTCGGCTCTATTTTTTCATTTACTAGTAATGAAGTTATTTAAATTCTGGATTTTCGGAATATTTAAGTGCATACACTTAAAGACTATAATTTTATATACTTAGATACATTTTAGAAGTATCTTGTAGCGATACCAACTTCTTTTTTACGAACGAAAATCATCTTTTTTATTATTGAATAAATGAATATATATATTATATGATTATATTATATTATATGAATATTTAATAAATAATAGTTCATGATAATAAGTTTAATGATAGTGTGGGCTTTGTTGATTTCAAAATTATGATTAATCATAATTTTATAAATTATAGTTATATATTAGAATTTTATAATTAATCTATACGTATTTTCTGAGTATATTAAATAATACTGTATTAAATTAAATATTACATATATTTTATATTTAGTGTTAAACAACTATTAAGGATTATTATACAATAAATACATGAAACGTAATAACTCAGTAACTACTTATTTCAATTTTATTACAACGAAAAATATAATTTGCTTAATAGTTTACAATAAAAATATGATGCTTAATTTGAAAAAAGAAATTTGTTTTGCCTCAGTACATTGTTCTAAATGGTATAAAACTTTTGAGTTTCTGAAAATATGGTTTTTGAATACCTGCTTATACCTACTAAAAATTAAAAAAAAAAAAAAATCAAAATTTGAATAATTGTTCAATTTAAAGATTAAAGTGGTGGTAAGCATGTTTAGTGAAACACATTATAGGTAAGGTACACATAAGTTATAGTTATATTTACGTAAAGTTATTTTGCAATTGTACTGATTCCATGAAAAATTATAATTTATAAATCATAGGCTATTTTTACTTTATACGAGCAAGCAAACGGCAACCGGTGAGATATGTGACAGGAGTGTTTGCGTGAAAAATGAAATTGAGGTTTTTTTAATGTATAATATAATTTACATGTGCCTAAAGATAACGTGGTTAAATTTGCAAAAACATAAATTCCATAAGTGATCTCTTGCTGATAAGTTGGTCGGTAATTATGTTTATTACATAAAATATAATAATAACAATAATAATAATAATAATCATAATTGGGCTGTAAATGAGTATCATTTATAATGTTATTACATATATAATTATAATATAACTAATAACAATTATATAATATTTTATTATATATATATATTCATTTATACGTGTACACCAATGTGTACGTCTTTTAGTCGAAGTTCATTATTTTAAATTACGGAAAGTCGTACCGTGAAATTAAATAATTTTGTTACGATGTTTGTATCGTCATCATCATCATAATGGCCATAATTATTATTATTTGCATGTGTCGCGAGATACGGTACAAAATTATTATTGCGCTTAATCAAAAACCAAAGGAACGCGCCAAAACGTCGACTTCGGCTTGTCAAAGAAAGCAATTGTTCATTATAAATTATAATATATTATAGTGTTAATGTATTGTAATGTCTTATAGACGACATTAGTTCATAACGACATCACGTTGAACATTTTAAGACCATAATGAGGCATACATCATAACGGATTTCCGATACTAAATAATATATTATTATACCTGTGCAAGCGATTGAGGTAATTGGTGTTCTGACGCAGATTAGTCGTTTAAACAGTACCTAGTACCTACCTACGTAATATTATGTAGTCGCAGTTGGAAATTACCATGTAAAATTTAATTTATTTCGCTCTTACAGAAATAATGTACTTAACATATCTCATTTAAGAACAAAACATCGAACGTTATGCGCCCCAATGTAATGGTAGATAGGTAATTATTAATTTAAACATTAATAATATATTTTTTTATTTTTGTCTTTTATTATTACGTGTTATTGGTTTATCAATTTATACGATCAATTAG